GCAACATGAAACAGATCAGCAGCAACATGATATGGTTTTTCACAGTGTGTCCCTGTGATGGACTGGAGACCTGTCCAGGGTGTCCCCCGCCTCTCGCACAGTGATTGCTGGACATGGGCACCAGTGACCCCTGTGACCCAAAATGGAAGAAGTGGGTAAAAGATAATGGATGGATGGATGATTGGATTCCTAAACCTCTTTCTAGACACATTTCTAACACAAAGTAAAATTGTGATCTGACAAACCAGTAATTAAATTTTAATTTTTCATTATTCGTTCAGATTTATTTGTAAATATTAGATCAATTTGCGTGTTGGAGTGTTTTGTGATCCTAGAAGGGCCTTTTACTAACTGCTCTAAATGGAACTTGTCAATAATTATTTTTAAGTTCTTCCTTTTAGCTTTATCGTCCCAATTCACATTAAATTCTCCCATGAGTAATATAGTTCCTTATTGTGGTTACATCCTTTAAGGACCTCCGTGAGTTGATCATAAAAAGTTTCACCAGCAGAGGGGGGCCTATAGATGCCTATGACAGAAAAAGACTTGCTGAATAAGATTATTTTTAACGCTATATATTCCAAAGTGTCACTCTATGCTCCTCCCTCTTTTGGAAACAGGTGTTGACTACAGCCATTTCCATTCTCTTGGTGAAATCCACCACCATCTGTCCTTCCTGGTTTCCTTCCTTGACACCAAACCTACCCATCACTTACTCATCCTCTGTTTCCTTCACCAACATGTCCATTCCAAGATGGCGCCGGTGTGTAGGGCTGCCCGTCTCTCGCTCTCTGCTTGTATTTTATTTTTGTTATTTTTACAATGGTTTGTGCAGTGTGCCGAGTCATATTTTCAGTATGATCGTCGGGCACTTTTGGAGCTCCGTACGTTTGCTGAAATTCCCGCTGAGTTTTTGAACAGCGGCCAGCACTCTCCCCCACCGGTCCTGTCTGAGATTCCTGCGTTCCTTCTGCGTGACCCTGGCCTTTCTCCATGGTGGAAACGTCGCAGACGTCGTGGGAAGCGTGCAGGGATTTTGGTGAAACTGAGGCAAAGTGTGGATTATTCTATCAGGACTCGCTCTGGATCTGATCATCTCCTCTCTGACCCGTGGTGCTCCCGGGGCCCGGCTGCTGGCCAGCTGCCCGCGCGCTCAGTCCATGGAAACACCTGGAGTTGTTTACCTGTGCGCCGCACCAGCAGACCAGGAGGAGCTGTTCTTCATAACCTGCGCCCGCTGGCGCGCGCGTCTCCTTCCATGGCTGTGCCTGTGTTGGACAATATCAGGATGTGTTTAATCAACGCAAGGTCTGTTTCCAACAAGACATTTATCCTCAATGACTTTTTTAAAGATGAGGAGTTGGATTTTCTGTTCGTCATGGAATCTTGGATTTCTGATGGTGAGTCCAGCGCCTTGGTGGAATTACTACCCCCGGACTGTCTGTGTTTCAATGCCCCGCGGCCATCAGGTCGGCGCGGGGGGGGATTATTAACAGTTTTTAAAGCAAACTTTGCCTGTAAACAGTTGTCCATCCCGGTGTCCCGCGCCAGCTTCGAGCTGAGCGCCTTTGAACTTGGACACTCTCCTCCGGTCCTGTGTGCGCTCGTCTACCGCCCACCTCGTTCTAAGGACTTCATAAATGAATTCTCTGACTTTTTGGCTGATATCACTCAGAGATACACTCACTTTTTGCTTATTGGTGACTTTAATTTGCATGTGTGTTGTCAGGAGAAGCCCTTAGTGAAGGACTTTCTGGATTTATTGGACTCTTTTGGCTTAGCTCAGCAGGTGAGCGGCCCCACCCAGGAACATGGTCACACGCTGGACCTCGTTTTAACACGCGATGTCTCTGTTTCTAATTTGAAAATAGGTGACAATGTTTTTTCAGATCACATGCCTGTATTGTTTGACCTCACCCCCCCTTGTCATACTGCTAAGACGTGCGTTCCTGCACGTACGCGTTCCATTAACCGTTTCACTGCTGCTTGTTTTAATGAAGGTTTTAATTCTGAGAGGATCGAACAGCTCTCGGTGTCTCTTACCACTGAGGAGCTAACCTCTCAGTTCAACTCTGCCTGTTTAAATGTTCTGGACCGTGTTGCTCCCCTTAAGACCAGAAAAACAAAACTTAAATCAGAGCCTTGGCTGAATGACGTCACGCGAGCCGTTAGGCGGCAGTGTCACAGAGCTGAACGAAGGTGGAGGAAGGACAGGCTGCAGGTTTCTTTTCAAATGTTAAGGGAGAGTTGGCGTCACTATCAGAAAACCGTTAAAGTTGCCAAATGTAAATTCTTCTCTGATTTAATTGTCTCCAACTCCCACAACCCCCGAGTTCTTTTCTCCACCCTGAACTCAGTTCTACACCTCAGTGAGCCTTCACCTCTGGAAGCCTCAACTGAGCTGTGTGAGAACTTCCTCCATTTCTTTTTAGAAAAAGTGGCAAACACCCGGGCACTCATATCTCCACCAGCTCATGATCTGTCCATCCCATCTCAGTGCGTGGCTGTGTTTGACCACTTTGAGCCCATCTCTCTGTCCTCTCTGGAGCAGGTAATGTGCAGCATGAAACCATCTGGTTCCCCCTTTGATGTGGTCCCCCCTCGACTGCTAAAGGAAGTTTTTCCTACCCTGGGTCCTTTTATCCTCGCTATTCTGAATAGCAGTTTATCCTCAGGTGTGGTGCCAAAGACTTTTAAACATGCTGCTGTCCAGCCCCTCCTGAAAAAACCTAACCTTGATCCCTCAGTCATGTCCAACTTCCGGCCTGTCTCCAGACTCCCATTCACCTCTAAACTACTGGAAAAAATTGTGGAGTCTCAGTTGAAACAGTTTTTGGGGGATCACACTATCCTAGAGTTATTCCAATCTGGCTTCAAATCTCGCCATAGCACTGAAACTGCTCTACTGAAGGTTTTTAATGACATTTTCATTTCCACAGACGCAGGTGATTCTGTGCTGCTTGTCCTATTGGACCTGACATCTGTTTTTGACACCATCGACCACAATATCCTCATTTCTAGACTGGAGCAGTGGGTGGGCATCACAGGGTCAACCCTTAAATGGTTTGGGTCCTACCTCTCTGACAGAACCTTCTGTGTCAATATCAAAGATTCTAGTTCGGCATCGACAGCGCTCCGGTGGGGGGTACCGCAGGGGTCCATCCTCGGTCCCCTTCTCTTTTCTTTATACCTGCTGCCACTAGGTGCTATCTTCCGCAAACACGACATACCCTTTCATTTCTACGCCGATGATTGCCAAATTTACTTCCCCCTGAGGCACAGAGGCACACGCTCTATTCAGCCTCTTCTTGACTGCCTGGCTGACATCCGGGACTGGATGGCTTTAAACTTCTTAAGCTTCAATGAGAAGAAGTCTGAAGTCATGCTGTTCCATCCCAGTGGCTCACTCATGAACCATGACATTGACCTTTTCTTTCTAGCCCCGCTAGAGAAACAAAAGGTCACTAATCTGGGGGTGATAATGGACCCGTCCTTAAAACTCAACAGTCACGTAAACATGATGGTCAAATCCTGTTTTTTTCAGCTGAGACGGCTGTCTAAGCTGAAGCCTATACTCTCCAAAAAGAACCTCGAGACAGTGATCCACGCCTTCATAACATCTAGGCTTGATTACTGCAATTCACTTCTGTTTGGAATCAGTCAGTCCTCCATTGCTCGTCTACAACTGGTCCAAAATGCTGCAGCCCGATTTTTAACTGGTACAGGCTATAGAGAGCACATCACGCCAGTTTTGGCCTCCCTGCACTGGCTACCCATTCACCTTCGGATCCATTTCAAAATTCTCATGTATGTTTTTAAATCACTGAACAGTTCCGCCCCATCCTATCTCACTGATCTTCTGCAGCCATATGTCCCACCGCGCTCTCTGAGGTCAGCAGACCAGATGCTTCTCTCAGTCCCAGAAACCCGTCGTAAGCTCAGAGGTGACAGGGCTTTCTCTGTTGCAGGTCCACGACTGTGGAATGAGTTGCCACTGAGTGTCCGGCAGGCTCCCACACTCTCAGTCTTTAAGTCTCGCTTGAAGACCCACTTCTATTCTCTTGCCTTTAACACGGTGTGATTTGTTTTGGTCCGGTCTGTTCTCTACTCTGTTGGCCATTTTAGTTAGCT